CAGGTCAGGAGCTCCCGCTGTGAACAACACTGTTGATTCTGCTGCTATCAGCTGCTAATAACGGGGCTAAAACCCATACTTCAACATTTGGTTGCATAATAGGTCAGTTAGAAAATAAGTTTAAAAAATGCCGAACAAGGACACCACCATAAGAAAAGGTTTTTCAATACAGAGGAAAAGATCAGGCAAGGAATTACTTTCATTTCCTGTTTATTACATTTCTAAATTTGCCTTTTACAACTGATTCTTCCAGTTTGTGTTCAGCAATGCCAGTGCCTATGGGAAGTTCCCTTATAGAGTTTTCAGAAATTCAGTCTAACAGATTTTCAGATTCAATTACACTATGCAAAAGACAGAAATTGAACGGATTAGGTATTATGTCAATTTACCTGACAGTTCAGTACAGATGGTTTCAGTCTAAATAGTGTGACTATTAACTAATGCAGCTGATGTCTAGTTTGATAAATTGTACTGTATCATTGGTGAGCCAGTCAGCAATTCATGAAAATAATGTAATTCATTCCCTATGCTACCATTTTACCAACCAGTAAGACCACTTTGATTTGGTTTGAAATCAAACAGCTGTGTAAAACAGGGCAAGGCCCAACTTCTATAGTGCGGGCATTTGGACTGAACATAGGAAAAAAGGAACTAATCAGGAAGAATACTATTGATTAGCAATGCATGGTCTATGCCCGAGTTTGGAGAATGACAGCTTGCTTATGATCTTATGGCCAGGTCTTTATAGCATGCCCTGAGGGAGCTGCAGCAGTGCTCATGGAAACCTCAGCTTCCTGAGGTAACAGCAGATAATCTGTCTCTGGCAGGAAATAACTACATACTAAGACTGATAAGCAGGAAGTTGTTCTAGAATGCAATCATTAATGAAAAGGAGGACCTTAAACACCAACATTACATTTAATTGGCAACTAGTGCTGCTTCCAAGTAAGGAGCATAAACAGATACTCAGGAACAAGTTAAAAACCTGGCTGTGCTCTTTTTTGAGGGGAGCAGATGGAGGAAAAATAAGTTTTTCAGGATCTCTATTTATTCCCTTTATCAAGGGCCTTGTGTCAAAGTATCCCTCCCTCCAAAAAAGGAGAGCTAGATGCAGCTTATGGAATTTTTTGGTTTTTGCTGCTCCAAACATCTTGGTGGGATGGGAATTATTACTCAAGTTCTGTGTGAAACTCACCCTCCCTGCAAGATCAAACATGATGCCTCCATGATTCTCTAAGCCCCAGGGATATTTTGGGCTCATATTACCCATATCACACTGACACAAGGCCAAGCAGTTCCTGGGTTTCCAAGCAATCCATCAGGGCAGAAAAGACAGTTAACTTTTTGAAACTGTTGTTCTTCAAGATGTATTGCTCATGTCCATTCCATTGTAGGTGTGCGTGCTTGCCCCATACACCGATGCTGGAAGCTTTTCCCCCCTCAGTGGTATCCGTATGGGACTGGCTCTGGCGCCCTCTGGAGTGAGGCGCGTATGCTCCTGCTGAGCCTTGGCATGGTCCTGTGGAACCAGGTGAGAGGGCCCAACCATCGCCTCATCATGCGAAGAAGACGAGGAGGCAGGTACAGGCGGGTCAACCAACTCCACCACTTCTGCCATGGGGGCCTCAGCCAAGGCTGGCTGAACCTGGGGAGCCCACTCTGACTCCACATCCGAGTCAGGGGGCGGGTGGGAGACTGTCGCCAACCATTTGTCAGATGCCCCTGAGGCCGACCTATGCACCTGCAATGGTTGGGGAAATCCCCAGGGATTCCAGAGTTGCCAGGGGGCAGGCCACTGGCCCTGAAGCCACGTTGCCACTTGTGGCCCAGTGGGGAATTCCGGTGCCCCCGATGGGTGGCCCTGGCCAGTGAGCAGGATTTCCTCCTCGCTGTCGGAGCCTGAGGAGGGGGATACATGCCTGGGGGACCAGGACGGTGCCGAGGCTGCCTGTCTACCTCGATCCCATCGGCTCTGGCCCCAGACTGCCGCTGAGGATCTGTATGAGGGCGATGGCACTCGGTGCTGCAATCCCGGTGATGGCATTCGGTAGATAGGTGACGGTACCCTGGTGATGGACGCCTTATGCTTCGCGAGCGATGCCGTTCCATTGAGCAGGAGCAGGAATGGGAGCGGGTAGACAGATGTGTCAGAGACCATTGATGCGCTTGCAGTGAACTGTTCCGGCGTTCCAGCAATGAGGCTTTGGGGACAGGCGTCTCGACCCTCCGAAGCGGTGCCATGAGCTGGGAGAGTGGCTCGGGCGCTCCCGGCACCAGGGCTCTGGGGACTGGTGCCGCGGCTCTGGGGACTGGTGCCGCGGCTCTGCGCCAGCCCACTGGTGATCGCCGCCTCGAGCCCGAGGAACGCTGCTTGGTTTCCAAGGAACGACGCCGGGAACTCCGGCAGGCAAGCCAACTCGTGTCCGTGGGCTGGTGGTGCTGCTCAGGCGAGCGCTGACGGGACTGATAGGGACCATTGGAAAGGTCCCAAGGCAGGTGTATCCCTCAAATGAGGCACCTCCGAGGTGGTGTGGACGGCACCGTGAGGTGCCATGTGCCTCTGATGCTCCCCGGGGTGGCAGGTGGGTCTTGGAGTGGGCTTGACCACTCAATGGGAGTCGGAGCCCGACCTCTGTCTAGAGGGGAAGAGCTGCCCCTCGCGTGCCTTTGCTCTCCTCCCCTTTATGGGACGTAGGAGAACGTCCCCTTCTGGCCTCTCTTTGCTTTTTAGCTGGTACTGAGGATGGGCATTGGTGCTGGTCTGAGGCTGGTGCCGGCGGAATGCTCTGGACCAAGGCTGCAATGCTAGGAGCGGAGTCCGACCTGGTCGGCTCTGAGGCCGGTGTAAGGGCCGACTCCATAAGGAGTGCTCGGAGATGAATGTCCTGCTCCTTTTTGGTCCGCGATCTGAAGCTCTTGCTTGTGAGACACTCGTCTCATGCTTGTGTGATTCTTGTTGCTAACGTGGATTTCCCCTAAGCAATTCAAACAGCTTCTATGGGGATCACTGACTGGCATGGGTTTCTTGCAACAGTCACAAGGTTTGAAGCCTGGGGACTGGGGCATGCCCCGTCCCTAGGCTAAGTCCCATTCAGGACTAAGTCTACACTAGTAGGGTTGCCAACTTTGGTTGGACGTATTCCTGGAGGTTTCATCAGATGACAATCTTTAATTAAAGATTAATCTTTAATTCCTGGATACTCCAGGACAATCCTGGAAGGTTGGCAACCCTAACACTAAGGGAACTATAAAACTAACAAATTTCTAACAACTATATACAGAAAGTTCACAACTAGTTGAGAGGAGCAAGCTTGCTGAGGCAAGAAGACATTTCAGCACCGTCACTGGCAGTAAGAAGGAACTGAGGGTTGGGGGGAGCAGGCTTCACCCCTTATACCGGTGCATACGTGTGCCACTTCACAGGGCACCAGAGCCGGTCCCCTACAGATACCACTGAGGGAAAAACTTCTGGCACCAGTGCATGTGGCAGGCACACACACCTACAATGGAATGGACATGAGCAAGCACCTGAAGAAGAATTACAATTCTTTTGTACACATTTCTGTCAGGCTAAATACCAATCCAGTTCACATTTTGCTGAGGTAAAAGCTGGGTTAGAGTCCCATGAGAAATGGCATCATATCTTTAATCACTTGCTGGTACCTTACAGTGGCAGATTCTTTCCTGCCTGCACCTTTTTGGTAGGAATAGCTCTGGATAGCTAGATCTTTATCAGAGAACTTTTGCTCTAGTTGTAGCCCATGAAAGTACAAACTCTGCAGAATTTATAGACACTGTTGGGGAAATTATATCTTCAATTCAAACAGATTAAAATAGTAGTAATACACTGCCACAGCCAGTACTCCTACTAGACACTGAGTTAGATACCCAACAAGCATAAGAAATGCATCAAAAATGCAAAGAACAAATGTGTAAAGATAGAGATCTAGGTCTTTTACATTTCTGTAAATTTAATTAAGAGAATATTCATTAAGCACATTAGAAACTGGATTTAGCTGGCTCTCCTAATCTAAGTCTTTTGTGTTTTTATAACCAGATAAAATTGTAAAGGATGAGATAAATAAGCACACAGACAAACAAACCCAACACAGACTGGATCACAGAATTCAAACACTTATCCAGTTTGGTTTGGGTTTGACTCAGGCAGCAAGCATGCAAACATCCATGAATGGCAATAATCTCATTTTTCCACATAATGGCCACATTTTTAAAGGGAAAAAACTGGGACACGGGGATGGTTTGGATGGGCATCAGGGAACTGTGCATGAGAGTGGGAAAGAGAAAAGAATGCCCACTCCTGCCTCTCTCCCACCCACCCCTTCTCCTTCCCTGCCACCCTGTGACTTTGACTATGTGCAGGGGGGCTGGTTTCGTTCAAGAGCTCATGGGGAGGTGGTGTGCGGATCTCTGAAGGTCTGGAACAAGAAGGGGCAGGGCATCACTATGTTATAAGTATGAAAAGGAGGGAGTCTTTTAGATACTTTTGTATACAGCCAGTCTGTCCTTAATTTCAGCAGCTCAGCTGACCAGCAGGCAGCCAATCTACATGAGTTTACAAAGACACAGGACAAAACACTATTTTTGTAAAATGAACAGGGCCTATAGGACCAGGTTTGGTAACTGGAGGACTCTCTTTTCAGGGACACGGTCACCCAGTCAAAGTGGAAGGTGAGAAAGTCTTTCTGCTTATCTCTGTAGAGAAGGCAGTTAAAAATGAGGCTCTGGAAACTGCCTTCCCATCCAAAACTCTTAATGAAGCAGCATCAGCTTTTTCCTGAATCAGGCAGATTCTCTGGCTCTCAGCCAGTTCCCCAGCTGCTTCATAAAGAGCCACTTGCTTGTTCCTTGTGACAGACTCTACTGTGTGCCAAATGTTATGAAATAGCAACATTAAAATACACACATTAACCTCACACAGACCATGCACGAATTATACACAGAACTATGAACAAGTCACACAGTTGTTGTCCATTTCTTACTTTCAGGTAGCAATAGGGGTTGTTCAGAGCTGTGTGAAGAGCAATCCGTGGGGCAGCATTCAAGTGTTCACGGAGGGTGTTAGCTGTGTTGAAATACACCACTTCGTTCAGGGTCTGCATCTCTGCAGGAGCAAGGTAACTTCTAAAAGAACAACATGGGATGTATGAAAAAGACAGCTCTTCAACTGAAAGGATGCTATGAAACCCCACTGAAAGCTAAGCCTTCACAGAGATAGCAAGAATGTGCATTTCACAACAGGCCTGGGCAGAAAACCTCTGAAAAATAAGATACCCCCAATACCTAGAAACAACTTCGAATAAAATGAGAATTTTAGGAATCATCAACCCAGCTTCCCACTTCAAACATTTCTTAATTAGAATCCTACCTACATCCGGGGCAAATTCACCCAGCAATGCAGGCAATACCCAGAATGCTGACACCAGTCATCTGCCTTGCTCATTACTCCTACACCACCCATCCAATCTTTAAATCCCTTCACTGGCTTGCTCTCACCTTTGTTTTCAAATTCAAGCTTCTTGTCTTGGCCTACGTAGCTCTGCACAATCTAGCTCCTGCCAATTTCTCTGCCCTAGTCCCTATTTGCTCCACACTTTTGATCCTTCCCTCTACTAAAGATGCACAACTAACAGCTGCCTTCATAGCCTTCTCCAACGCTTGTCTCCACACTTTCTTCCTTGTGGATGCTTACACTTGGAACTGCCTCCACGAGCCCATCTGCCATGCCTTGCATTAGCCAAAATAGAAATGGGTATCACAACCCTAGCCTATACAATGCAGAAAAGAAATAATGGATAGACCAATACTGATTATGGTGTGGGCCATTTTGACCTTGTCTTGTCAACTGCCATATTTTTCTTCATCTTCTGCAGCAGCAGGAATGAGTTGCGCAATTTATGTTTCAGACTCCTTACCGCATTCTATGGAAAAGAGGCATTTTCAGAGCCCTCATCCAGACACAGATGGCTGCAAGGACACCCAACAGCAACATTTCACGGAAATAAAAAGAGTGGAGAGGACATGTCTCATATTGCAGGACTACAGCTGTGACTTTGATAGCAGTTTCTCCCAAGTCTGAACTGTTTGGTAAACTGTTGTTCTGTGTGTACGTGCCTGCATGTATATATTTTTCTATGGTATCTTATGATACTGTATCAACTATTAAAGGGCCCAAAGAACAGGAAAGCTCACCTTACCAGGCTGTCTATAAAGTCAACAACTTCGAACCGGAGCATTTCAAACTTAGTTAGTTTCTTAGATCTTTTTGATTCTTTCAACTCCAGCAAAGTCTATAAAAGACAGAAAATGCACAGCCCAGTCATTTTGGATGGCAAACCCATTTATCTAGAGTGATGCTGACAGGATTATTGCATTTTAGAAATCAAGACATGAAAAATGATTGCCATGACTCTCCTAGGTAACACATACTAATCTAAACGGAAATAAAGTTAGACTGACAATACTGTGTTCCCTGTTTGTATGCTATCTTACAAAAGGTATACAAGTATCTGGTTGCTTAAGAAGGGAAATAAATGTTTTCATTGTGAGAGTCTGTTTTACTAAGACAGAGCTAACACTAATCCTGACATTAGTGTCCTGAGGCTAAAACAAGAAAATTTCAGATTGCTTTTTCTCCATTTCTAAAATTAACATACATTATGGTGTTATAAAAGGAAAGGGAGAGTTGTCTCTTGGTTGGAGCCAGGGACGGAGACACAGGGAATTTGGATTCTCGCCCCAGCTCTGCTTCTGATTTGCTATGCGACTTTGAACAAGTCACTTAGCCTTCCAGGGCCTCGGTTTCCACATTCACAAAATGGGGATAATAATATGAACCTATCTCACAGGGAGGATGTGCAGATTAAAAGTCTGTAAAGTTCTCAGATGCATTATGCAAGGTGCTATCAAAATGCTAACTGGCATTATTATATGAATTTGTTAGATGCAATGAAGTCTGACTCAACATGTGCAGTTAAAAATATAAATGAAAGCACCTTTAGTGCTGAAATAGGTATTGATGTACCACTTGCTGTCAATTTAGCTACAACAAAATAACAGTGTAGAGAGATGTTGAACTAAAACATTCATACACATTGCACTTCATACACACCTTGTTTTCATAGGCTGCTACCAGGCCTGAAAAACCAACTTGCCTAGGGCAACTAGAAATTTTAGTCAGAGTAAGGCTGGAGAGCTTCTGGCTCCTTCCTTGCAGTGCTGCTTGCCCTTTTATCGGGGGGGAAGAGGGGCAGAGCCAATCAGATGCTACCATTCTTTTTTTTAAGACTGGGGTGGAAGGAAATGACAGTAGCATCTGCAAGGAAGCTCTACAAAGAGGTAGAGGGTTAGGATCAGAATTGATTGATAGGTAGGGGAAGGGGAAGGAGGTGGAGTAGAAAAGTGTATAAAAGTGATTTATTCTTTGTGTGGGAAAATCTACTCACCGGAGGACTGTCAACACATGCCAATGTAAGTTAAATATGCATGGGACTGCGGTGCTGCAGGCTTTTTTATCAAGGCCAGTATGCTTAGTCAGACAGGCAGGAGTCATGGAAATCCTTCAAGCCGGTGGCTTCTTATCTGACATTTAGGTTGGGCAGGATGTTAAATTTTCAAGCCACTCACAGAACATGATTTGCTCATAGCTACGGTGTGTAGGGCAGATCTAATCAGGAATAATTAACAGCTTGAAAAAAATAAATCTTGAAACTAGTTTGTAGAAAGTAAAACTGGCCTGACCTTCTGAAGGTGATAGAGGTCTGTCTTCTTCTGGAGTTCCTTTTGTGATGACACAGACATATCTTGTACCTCATTGGTTTCTGCTACTGGAACAAAACCAGTGTTCAACACATGGCATAAACTTTTTCTAATCTCTAGAGAAACTCGGTGACCCAGGCGAAATTGAGACAGGGTCAATGGTACTCTTTCATGTTAGATGAGGACCGAAGTCCAGTTAGCTATTAAATTTTTCCCCGGGCAAACAAAGGTCAACAACACTTCACTGTGTAATTTATATAGTGAACAGTTATTCAAAAACAGAAAATTCAGCCCTGTGCAGAGGGCCAGCACAAGGCCCATGCACCACTTACATTTCACTTAAAACTTCTGGACCATATCCTCAACAGGTATAAATTGGCAAAGCTCCACTGATCTCAATGAAGCAGCCATTTAATGAGCTTTTAAAACTCCTCACATTGTAAATTTACATTTTTCCCATGCAAAATTTTTAAAGAGAAAATAGATTCTCATCTGCCATTCCCAAACTCCGTAACCTGGATTTACTGAAGTAAGAGCAAAGTGAAAAATAGAACATACTGAAGCATTTGACTGACCAGTTTTATCTTAATTTTAACCTATGCCTCAATTTTGCTTTCAGAACCCTGTAGTTTGTATATCAATAATTGCATCAATAATTAACAACTTTGCTTTAAAAAAAATCCTGATTCTCTGGGTGGTGGGCTAAGTTTCAATTCTGATTAATTTTAAAACAAACAATTCCTATCACAGTAACAACTAATAATATTCAAAGCAACAGACTGTTAGGTTACTTGCATTGCTTATGGGGTTGTCACCTGTAGGTCACAGGTTTAAGTCTGGCTCAGGTCAGTGGTGAAGTATGATAGCTGTTTGGTGGATTACATGAAATGAGTTGGTAGTTGAAGTCCAATTTTAGTGGACAGGTGTCAACATCTTAAAATCCATCATCACAGTTTTCTGTCAGCATCAACAAAGGCCAAGGATTCAATAAGCATGGAGACTATACTGCCCCCTCACCCTAGAAGTCGTTTGTCAAAATCAGGGTGAGGTACATTAATGAGCACAGGGAAGATTGTAGATGTGCTGCCTATTTTCAGTGATGCCAAATCCTGCAACTTTATCATTACTCTTGTGATCTTGGAAGTCTTTCTTAAAACCTAATTTCCTGAAGACAACTGTTATGGGATAATGTCAGCTTTAATTTACAAATAAATAAGTAAGCTAGCCCTCACAGTTGCAGACAAAAGCCTGAAAACATGAAGAGTGTACTGAAGGCTCTGAAACTAAAGGCAAACAAAATAAACAAAAAGTCCAAATGTATTAATATTTTTTTTAAATCTCAATTTTTAAGCCACTCATGATTTTTGAATGCTTGAGATTGGCTATACTCTATGCTGTGGTTACAAAGAGGCTGTTATTATAGGACCTTTCACTTTTTCCCTTGGGCTGCACTGTTGAACTCTACAGGTTGCCACTGGCCATTACCACTGCAATCAGGCCACCCTGACCTGAACAATCCATCTCTTATTTGGATCTGACTGTGACTTAATTTGCACATTTTTATTAGTTGGCATGGTAATGAGCCCAAATGTATGTGTAAAGGAGTTTGCTACTATTAATTTTTCAAGTTATGACTTATTCATGAAATGTTTGAAAGCTGTAAAGCACTTGATGAAAAACCTCAAGAAAATATATGTATCAGATGTCATTTATCATCAACCTCCTTTGATCTGTCCAGTTCCTTGTCTCACACCACTCTTCCATTTTACAAATGATGGGCCCCGTCAGCTGTAATACAAATATCGACAATCCCTATTTTGCATGTCAATCATTTTTGAAAAGATGTACTCCATGTCAAAAACGCTTGCCATATTGATATTCTTATGTGGAGAAATTTTGGGGTTTGATCTCAAAATACCATGAGACATCAGCAGGGCCAGTGAATTTCATCAGAATGTAGATTCTCTGAGGCCATTTTATAGCAGATTATTGATGCCAAACAATTTGGCAGTAGGTTACATGCTCACCTTCCAGATTTTGAAATCGTGCCAGGAACTCCTCCAGTTTCTCTACCGTGTTGCTAAACTGTTTTCCAGAAGATATAAAAATCTCCGCACATTTTTGAAGTATGGCCACCAACTCATCCTTAGCCAACATCCTGAAAAACAGAATCAAATAGCTAATGATGTAATATAACCAGCAAACAAGAAAAGCATTTGCTGAAGTACTTAGAATAATGTTCAGTACTGTATTTTCTACTCATCTGAAAAAAGAAAAGAAAGAAAGAAATCCCCAAGTTCTGTAATTTAAAGCTGCCAGTTTTCTTGTAAAGTTGATTTCCTAAAGAATAAACTAAGGCTGTTTAGCTTTTATATCCAAAGCTCAGTATTTAAAAAGGGCTGAAGTATTGACTGAGCTAGAAGAAGATATCCTTCAATTTCCCCCTAGAATAGATGGTGAATAGTTTCTTCAGAGTACCCAGTCTATGACATCATCTAGAGCTGGAAGCACCTTCATATGCCTTCCCTCTAGGATCTGATTTAGAGGTGGGAACTTGGACTTAAAGCTTGACAGGGGTTCATGATTCATGCCAAACAAGGTGTGTGAATTATATAAACCAGAATAGCCTCACCTGGCATTTCAACATCACAAAACTCATTACATTCTGGGATCCAGAATGAACTTGAAACACAGTCAAAGTTAATGATTCAGGTATTTAATTAATATAAAACCATCACCGCTTTGTATTTATACAGCACTTATAATCTGTAGATCCCAGCATTTTATAAAGATGACTAAGGATTGCTTAGTCTCAATATTTTCATTCTAAAGATATCAAATCAAACATCAAATACAAATTAAATCTAAAAGTATCTATATAATAATATTCTAGGATAGTCTCCTGTCCATGTGTCACCCTGAAGCCTAGACTATCTGTTGAGTCAGTGTGAAAGAATGGAAACAGCTACAAGCATGGTTGAGAGCTCTTTTTGTTCAGAATATCACCAGGTTCACCATCTGTTACTGTTCAATTTTTAAATTCTCAGCCATTTTGATTTTACAAATTACATTTTTGCAACAGCAAGGCCTAATGATCTAAGTTATTAATACCTCCTTAGAGCTACGGCAGTGGCCATGGCTCTGGCAGCAGAGTTTGAGGTGCGTAGCCAGCTATGTTGCTATAGATATATGGGTACTGGGTTTGAGGGTTCACCTCCTCAAATGGTTCACCCCTCAAGTATGGCACTCTTATTTTAAATTAGTGTTTTCACCTCTTACCCAGCAAACCCCTTTGTTTGCAAGGTAAAAGGTCTTTGTAAATGGACCCTTTGTACATCCAAAACAATAAAAGTAATTTATTAGCCAAAAAGGAGTGCGAGGGGGCATAATGTAAACAGGTTGTGATGTAAACACATTTGTGAGTCAGCGTGTCACTCCCATCCAGTTCTTTCAATTAAGAAAAGTCAAAGAATTAGTCCTTGATTTAAAGCCCTATAAAAGGAAAATAAAAATATTTTAAGACAATTTGGCAGCAAGGAACCAATTAACCTTCCAAAATTACTTTTGTAGGGCCACTATCTCCTATCCAAAAAATAGTTTTTGCTAGTAGTAGTGGATTTCTTTTTCAGACAGCAGTGGCAGAAAAGTGATTAAGGCTCTGGTAGAACAGACCCCGTCCTTCATTAGCCACAGTTTTCAGGGACTGTGGAAAGGATCAATTTATCAAATTAAAAGTTGGTAAATGCCAATAGCAAATTAGAAAGTTTTAATTCCCACAATCTTAATGGCTTTTAGAATAACTTCCATTGCCTCAACTGGCCAATCACCTTTTAAGGTGATGGTCAGAAGAGAAATAATATTATTTAAGCACTTCTATGGCAAAACAGTGACTCCCAAATTAAGAAAATTAAAATGGATACATACCTGCAATCCTTGCACAACCATATATGCAAGATGCATTGGTATGTAGTGGTTAGAACTGGCCTATTTTAATAACATTAAAAAAATTGGAAAGTTGGTAACCAAGTCATGCTCTTTTCATATAAAATATCAGGAGCATGGTTGCTACCACAGGTGGTTAAAACCGTATCACCGTAACAAGCTGATTTATCTGTATAGAAAATTCAAGTAACTAATAATACACACAAATTAATAAAGTTTTACCATGTTAATCAATTAAAGTTGTACCAGGAAAAAAGACCTCTCCTTTGCAGGTGTCCAACAATTCAAAATCCTCAGAGGCCAAGTTGGAACAAGCACACAGCAAAATGCTGTTTGTCCTCTGCAGCAGCTTTAATGTCCTCACAATTAATCTGATGCAAGCCCAGCCCTTTGGGGCACCTGGTCTGCAGAATGCACAGTATCCAGCCAAGCTGACTGAAGACTCTCGATCTCCAGTACTTGATTCCCATATAGTAGAAATAGAGAAAATGGACTTTCAGGTAAAAACTCCAGACAGTGTAAACCCTAACACTGTAGTAACGGTGGTCTGGAGCTAACAACAGCAGTCCGCTGTAAGAACACCTGATGCTGCACTGGTGGCATCCTCGGAGCAGTATGATCTCACCCCCGGATGACACTATACCTGAATTCGGGGAAGACTAACTACCAAGATGAACAGTGGGACAGTACTAAGTTTATAACCTGGCATAATGGGACTGCATTAGCCTTATACAAAGTGTCCATTCATGTACAAGAAAGATATGTAACTGAAGGGGGTCCTGGTCAAATCATTTCCCCTACTCCAGTAGCCAATCAAGGGAGCCTACTCCTAGCAAGTCCTATCAAATTGTAACGGGCCTAATAGGCAAAAGTGTGACCCTTAGCTATGAGCTAGTGGATGTAAACATGTCACCTTAGGTAAACTGGAAATAGATCTTTCCCCTGATCAATAACTCTGTGGGGGAGGGAGGGAAGGCGGCTACACCTATAGCAGAGGTATTAATCAATCAGGTTCAATTTATGTATGTTCCTGTTGTGTTAAATCTGTTAAGTGGCACGTGGGTAAATTCAGTTATTGGAAAGACTCCAAAGTGTCCTCTTTCTTTTCATCACTCCTTGTGGATAAGGTCACTGCTTATCAACAATGGGTGCAGGATATTACAAATTTGGAAATCCATGCCAAGCATAAGTTATGTATCCCTAGGGAAAAAAAGGGGAACTGATCCTTCGGGGATCATAAAAACTGTGTCAGGGTTATTTGGAAATGGAATGTCAATTTGGAATCAGGTGGATGTTGAAAAAGTTAGGAGACACATTATGTATTACAGGGACAGGGTGTCAATCCAGTGCTGCAAGGGATAAAAGATTAATCAAACAAGGAAAGATTTGTAGCAGATAATATTCGTGAAAAAGATAGACTGTTTAATGAAACTCAAATTAAAATTAATCGGTCAATTAAACAATAATGATCAGGAAAGGTATCAGTATATGGGAAAGGAAATTATTTGTTCAGCATACAGTGAATATGTATTAATACCATCAGCAGCGCATTGCAGTTCTTGGAACTAGGAAAGGTCACAGATTTAGCCAAGGATGAGCAGCTGCTAAACTGGTATTGTGCAAAATGTTTTTAAAACCACAGGGAGAAAAGCTAATTGTTTAAATTCTTGTCAAAAATTGTCATTGGGGTAAATCAGAAATATGGTAATACTGTGATACAGCATTCTAATCGACTTGTGTTATTTAACAAAAAAATTGCATCACATCAAAATCCTTATGTCTCCTTTACAGTCTCGATGCCTGTGTTTGATCCAGATGAGGATTTTTTATTTTTAAGACAATTGGTAGGTAAGGACTCAAAAGGTCACCTAGAAGGCAACATCTACGAGGAACAAATAAATGTACCTCCTCTGGTGGTCTATCATCAAGGCACCCAAACCTAGAAAGTTCCATGAATTGCCTGTTGCTCTGACAAAAGGCATCACTACATCTGCAGATATGTGTTTGTGGCAGACATGCTGCTGTGTGGCCAGAAGGAAGGGTACCAACTATGGAACCAATCATCAGCGTCGTCATCCCCTGTTAAGATGACCAAGCTCCCACAGAAAGGGAGACCTCTGGTGGAGATGGCCAATATTGTGTAGTGACCAACCATCAAAAATATTATCCTGATCAGAGTGCAAGGTCATGACTAAGGGCTTGTCTACACTATCCGCCAAATCGGCGGGCAGCGATCGATCCAGCTGGGGTCGACACGATAAATCGACCGCTGAGCGCTCTCCTATCGACTCCGGTACTCCACCAGAACGAGAAGTGCAAGCGGAGTCAACAGGAGAGCGTCAGCTGTCGACTTACCACAGCAAAGACACCACAGTAAGTAGATCTAAGTATGTCGACTTCAGCTACACTATTCATGTAGCTGAAGTTGCATATCTTAGATTGACCCCGTGTGGTAGTGTAGCCAAACCCCCCAAAATTCTGTTTTTATCCAAAGATGCATATATTAATTGGGCATATGGCAGTTTCCCCAGTACCTGTTTTTAAAAATGAAACTGTTTTCACTGCTAAACCAGAATATGAGGATCTAGTCCGACAGAACACGCCAATGTTGCAGCTTCATATTGCCCTTCTTAATTTAAATTTAAGCTAGTTAATATGAGTATAAAGATTCATACTTGATAAAAATTAGTAATGAAGTAACCGAGGCAGGACAAATGCTCACCAGGTTAATGGATGGAGGTGATTAGGTGTTAACTGTACCTCTATGGATGGAGATTGGACTGAATGTTGTATTGTGTTGTAAGCATTGTAAAATCAGAGGTCTAAACAAAGGGTATTAAGCACTTCCCCAAACACCTCCCCTAGAAAACCAAACCCAGATTGTCTCCATTCAGAATCCTATTATCTCGCAGGAGGTGACCAATTAACCTCAGGTAACCCAAACTAAGGAACCATAGTGTGTGTCCAGGCAACCAGCAGCAGTATACCAGGTACACGAACATTCCTATGCTTCTATTCATCCATGACAGCCAATACAGTGTCTCCATATGGATGGTATATGTTGTTAAGACCCTAAATAGCAGTGTGATAGGGTTCATTAGCAATCACCCCATCGAGCGGAGAGGAGGTGACTTGTATCCAGCTAGGTTGTTATAAATATATGGGCATACACTAAGGTACCGGTGTGGAGTAATGTAAAAGCCTACATTCTCAAGC